AAAAAAGAGATGGATCTTGAAAGAAACTTGAAGAAATTGGAAGAACTGGAATAAACTAGAAAAAACTAGAAAAAACTGAAAAAATTAAAAGAATCTGAAAAAAAACTAGAAAAAAATTAGAAAATCTAAAAAAAAACCTTATTGTGTGTGTGTTTTATATTATTCTAATTCTAATTATTGTTGTTATAAATTATTATTATTATTATTATTATTATTGTTGTTGTTGTTGTTATTGTCATCATATTATCTTAATGAATGACTTTAAGATAAAAAAAAATGGGTCTACCACCTACCAGAGGTATTTTTGACCACAGGATTCCTCTGAAATCTGAATCAACACCAATAAGCATTAGATCTTACAGGTACGCTTTAAAACAAAAAGATGTGATTGAAGGTCCAATCAATGAGATGTTAGAGAAGGACATCATTCAGCACAGTTGTAGCCCTTTTGCCTTTCCTGTAGTGTTGTTGGTGGGAAAGAAAGATCCCGGAGGGTGTGCAAAGTGGCCAACCGCACAGGGCACCTAAAATTTTAGGGCTCCATATTTTTAAATTTGTTAATAATTTTAAAGGAAAAGTATTCAAAAACATAAAATAGGGCTCAAAATGTGAATTTAAGACCGGGCCAATTTTATTTTTTCATTTTTCGAAGCCGGCTCTGTCTACTACCTAGCTCCCAATGCAGGTTACATCCCCACTTATATGTCGTCGTCCCAGGGGTCATTTGTTTGCATTGACAAAACAACCAACATTCTACTCATGGCTATCAAGTCGTCGACTATGCATCCGGTTGCTGGGAAGGGACAATTGACTAGTCTTAATATGCAATAGAAATTGAGAAACTCAAAGTTTATACAATTTAATTAAAAAAAACATATTGAACAAATCACAAATATATTAAGAAAGTAATACTCCGTAGCATAAATTTGAGAATTGAACGCGTTGACGCTAAGGTTGCAAAAATAATTTTTTCCCGAGTAGAGTTCGTGTCAACTACAAAAACTCTAAAAAGTAAAGCAAAAAAAAAAGGATATTTCATCCGTTCATTAAAATGGTTTTTGTTTAGACTTTTGCAAATTTTATTCTAATAATTTGATTTTCTAATTAAATCATGAACATTGAAAAAAAGAGAAACAAGTCTTTTAAAAAACTTTTTATATCAATGTAAAATGAAAAAACTATATTGGAATAACTTTATTTAAATATGTTAGTCATTTTAATTAAAAAAATATTTCGATAAAAGCATAAAAAGGAAAGAAGCAGAGTTTTTAGTGAATTATTCCAAAGGTTGGTGTATTTCAATACGGAGTAATTTAAATTAGAACGAATAAAAAGATAGATAATAATAAAAGAATTTTGTTGTCCCTGATATTAAATGTATTGTTTAAAGTAAGAGTAAAACATTGAAAATGTACCAAAATTGGACTATTATGTTTTTATTCTCGAAATAAGCGTTAAAATGGATTTACATTACCAAACATGGTCATGTACATTACCAAAAACTATAGTAATTTGCACATGTACAATGCCACATTACAACCACATTATCACAGTGTAAAGTTCTATTTCGAAAATAAAAACATATGACTTCTATTTTGGTACTTTTTATATGTTTTAGTCGTATTTAGGGTGATTTCTACTAACATATTTATTAAAATAATTTTAGTCAAATATTATAAATTGAAACAGAAGATTTAAGTTAGGACGAATTGAAAGATAAATAAAAAAGAATTTTATTCTCCTTATATAAAATGGCCCGTTTACATCTGGGGCCGGGGGAATTCGCATAGTATTTGGTTGGAGAAATTGGCCGACCCTGTCTTCCGCTCCAAAATCCTATTTCCACATTTCCCAGTTTCTTCCATATCCAATAATCCAGGTATTTTCTTTCCCCCATTTCAGTCTTCCCCGCTTCTACTTCCGAGCTTAATCAACTGTTTTCGAGCAAGGGTTTTTTCTTGTTTCAGTTATCCATGGTGTTTAGATGTTTATTTTATTTAATCTTGAATGAGAGTTGTTCAGATCGATGATTAGTTTCGAAATCTTGCTCCACTTCTGTTCTATTGGCCGTGTTCTTTTTTCCAAGATTTGTATGAAATGCCGCTCTGGGGATTTTATTTTTTTCGCGTTTCAGAAAAGTTTCTTTCTTTATTTTTATCTTGAGAGTTTTTAGTTTCATCTTCAGAAAGGCGAGGAAGAAGGGAGGTTTTGGGGGGGAAAAGAATGTATTTATGCAAGTGCTGCCTGATTTTGTTTCTTTTTGTCTGGCGTTTTATTTAGTGTATCTTGTGAGGTTTTGTGTGTTCTGATAATTTGTTAGGGTTTTAGCGGAATGAAATGTTACAGCTTGTGGTTTACTTCAATACTTGTCTTAAATCGTTTTCCAATGAAAATTTTCCTAAATTATCTCTTGATTTTTAATTCTTGAGTGATGTTTTTACACAGACATTGTTTTTTCTGAGTATGGCTTAACTTTTCCATCTTTTGCTCTATATTTTTCAATAAATCGTTCTCAATGATATTTTATTTATACCCATGTTGGTTATTACCACCCCCACCCACATTTGGACACACATTCTGTATATTCTTGAGAGTGAGACATTGGATATTCTTCAGAGGTTGGCTTGGATGAAGGGTTTGGAAGGGAAGATTTTGTAGGGCTTAGACTATATATTGATAATCTCTGAATATTTGAGATCTTATAACAGTTTGAAAGATTAACGTGATCATGCAACATTTCAATCATCTGTTCTCCATTTTTAGAGCATTCTATTATCTAGATACGGACTAAGTGATCCCCTCCAAACTCCTCCATCTAAATTCCAAACTGACCCTTAAGCTATGTTTGTGAGTTGAGTTTCTCATGGTTTAAATGGATAGGGGATGGAAGGGCTATAATGTACAACTTCTAAATTTTGGTGAGGTGCAACTAGTGACAATCATCAAATGTGGTTACAATTTCAGATTCATATGTTAGTTGAATTAAATTTACTTTGTTTTACTTGTAGCTGACACCACCTAGTGGGATAAGGATTTGTTGTTGTTTTACTTGCTTGATAAAAAAAATTGATTTGATAAAAATTACTCCGTAACATCTTTCATTCAATTTGACTCTTTATATGGGACAAAAATATGTTGACAAAGTCTTTTTAAGGGATGGGGGATAATAAATTACTCAGTAGGATAAACTCAATATAGCAGTCATCTATTTATTTTCATTAACCATAAAACAGCTCAACTAGTTTAAAACCAAAATCCTTCGCACCATCCTAACCCCTCCAAAATCCAAATCTCAAATATACCTTTACACTATGTTTGGTTCAAGGAAATTGGAAGGAAAAGAAAAAAAAATGGTTTTCACTCAATTTCCTCACCAAAATGGGAGGAATTTGGTTTTCCCTCATCTTAACACATTTTGCCTTCTCATTTTCTTTTCCTTCCATTTTTCTTTTCTTTTCCTCTCTAACCAAACAAGAAAAATGTTTTCCTTCTCATTTTCTTTTCCTTTCCCTCTCAAATTCCTTGAACCAAACATAGTGTTAGTGTTTCCAATTCTATACTCTCTCTATTTCAAATTAATAGTCCTCATTTCCTTTTTGGGATGTCCGAACAAAATAGTCCTCTTTCACTCTTGGAAAGGTTTTTGTGGCTCATATATTTTCTCTCTCCTTTGCATCACTTTCAACCATACAATTTTACTTTTCTTAAACTTTGTTCCAAACCAAATGTGGACTATTAAATTGGGACGGAGGGAGTATTATTTAAATTTCTCAACCATCTTAAAAACTTTTTCCTATTGCATTGGGATTGTAGCCAAAGAATGACTCGAGACATTTCAAAGGAAGCAATCACCGAATTGGAAGCTGTCGATGATGGCAGCAATGAAATCTTGTTGACTATTTCAACCACGGAGAATGGGAGTAGGAACAAGAGGAAGTTTTTGTCTGAGTTCCCACCAGACATTCAGATAGACTCACCTCCTCTGTCTCTGACAGAATTCCCAAGATATGAGCTTTTAGAAGAAAAGCTGCGTAGCACACTACATACGTTTGCATCGCTCAATCTTCTTCCGGACCAATCTAATGACACAGCTGGAGCAGAAACTTCACAGGAAGCTGATTGGGATGATCCCATTGCCTGCGAGCTGGAGAAGCTTCTTACGCACAATCTGCATGCAACCTTCCAGACTGCAGTAAAAAAAATTGTTGAGTGTGGGTACAGTCAAGAAATTGCAGAATCTGTTGTTCTGAGGAGTGGACTTTATCATGGTATTAAGGATGCTGTGTCAAATGTTGTGGACGGTGCGCTAGATTTATTAACAAAAGAAAAGAATTTGGGGACCAGGTACCAACTGTTTGAGGAGTTTGATAGTTTGGTGGAGTACGCAATCCTTGAGATGATCTGTGTGTTAAGGGAGATAAAACCATTCTTAACGGTTGCTGAAGCCATGTGGGCACTTTTGATTTGTGATCTCAACCTGTTACACGCGTGTGCAGTGAAGGCAGATCTTTCGTGCGATTTCTTCAATCAAGTAGTAAATCCAGAAGCTTCTAGAGCCAGTTCCAATAAAGAAAAATCAAATCTTTCTAACAAGTCTGTTCCGTTTCCCACTGTCCCTCAACTACTAAAATACTCCCATTTTCGTGATGCTACAATTAGTAGTAAAGAAGGAGGGTCGTTTTCTCTTTTGGAGATGGAAAGTAAATCCTTAGGGGCTGCCAGAGAGTACATTCAAGCTGTAACACAAGCGGTCGTGTCTGAAGAAAAATCTGGGGTGAGTCGGAAGGGATGCTCTCTTCATTCCAAGAAAGATCTCTTAAGGCAAAAGCCATTTCCCTTCGAGAAGACTTACAAGGGCCGTTTGGGTAAGGGATCATTTAAAGCCAAAATCACTTCCTGGGGCAGTATGGTTCTGGATAAGACACTCAATGCTCAAACCGGTTCTTCGTCGGCTACATCTTCAAAAGGCACTTACTCTAAGACAACCGTTACTACTAAATCAACTCCTGCGAGTAATTCGGCTTTGCCCATATCTGGAAATGACACTTCTGTACAAGACCCCGTTGTTGCACTTCCTCCCGTGTCCACTTACTATGCAGACATACCCTATGACGATTCCCTAGGGAAATACATTCCTCGCGATGAGAAAGACGAAGCTGTGTTGATGCTTGTCCCACACCTGCAGAAGCTGGAGAAAGAGATCCAAGGCTGGACAGATTGGGCCAATGAGAAGGTCATGCAGGCTACCCGAAGGCTGGCCAAGGATCAAGCTGAGCTGAGAATGTTGAGGGAAGAAAGGGATGAGGCTGAAAAGTTTCAAAGGGACAAACATACCCTGGAGGAGAACACTGTGAAGAGGCTTTCTGAAATGGAGCATGCTTTGTCTAACGCGGGTGGGCAGATGGAAACAGCTACCTCTTATCTTCAAAGGCTCGAGGCGGAGCATGCTGTGCTGGTTAAGAAGATGGAGGCGGCAACATTTCTTTCTACGGAATCTTCTAGAAAGTTGCAGGAAGCCATGGCAAGAGAGCAGGAGGGACTCAAGAAGTGTCAATCATGGGAGGTGGAAAAGAGCTTATTCCAGGAAGAGCTCACTGCTCTGAAATGTGAATGTGCTGATATTCAACTTCAAGTTGAGAAGGCTAGGAAACGTTTGAACCAGATTGAGGTATGAACTATTGTAGTTTCCTGATTTTGTTTGAGCTTGAAATATAACCACTGCTTCACCTCAATTTCATTTCCCTGAGAAAAGAAAAAAAAGATGTGTCACGAGCTTCTATGAAATTTCAAAACTTTCCCAAAGTTGATTGACTGTAATTTGCCCAAATGGTAATTTCCCCTTAGTATGATAATCTGATGAAAATGCTATGTTCAGGATCTCTATGAAGAGAAAAGGAAGGAGAAAGAAGAACTCCTGGTGCAGGTTGGTTCACTACAAGGTGAAACAGAGCAACTGGGTGCTCTAGCAAAAGCAGAGGAGGACAGGATTAGAGACATGGCTGGTAAAAACATGCTGAAGCGCAAGAGTGAGATTGACAAGATTGGAAGCGAGATCTCTGGGCTGAGGTTAGAGTCTGAGGCATCAAAACTTGAGGCCCTCAGGAGAGGAGTTGGCAAGTTGGGCCTGCAGAATCAGGCGACGAACCAGAGGCTGGCAGAGGGAAATGTGAAGCCGGAGAGAGAGTGCGTCATGTGTTTGGCTGAGGAAGTCATGGTGGTCTTCTTGCCGTGTGCGCATCAGGTTCTATGCGCGCAGTGCAATGTTCTCCATGAGAAGAAGGGAATGGCTGACTGCCCCTCCTGCAGAACCCCAATCAAGGAACGGATCGAAGTTCTGTATCCTTCTCCATTGTAGCAGCATGTCAGTGGGCAACAAGACAGGTAAGAAACAGTTCTTGACATTGTTCTGTTCATGTGTTGTGTTTTTTTGGCTTGTTTGTAGCTCACAGCTAAAAAAAGTACAATGTTTTTGAGGGGGAGAACAAAAACAGAATAGAGTTAGAAGGTTGTGGTCTAGTGTGGGAAGGAGGAGCAAAAGGTTGCCTTTCAGTAGAGGCTTTGTAAATTTGAACTGCTGAGATAAGACTTGAGATTATATACATATGATGATGATACACTAGTGGTGGTAGTCTTTCAATTTATATACCTGTGTTGTCAATATTCAGCTCATTTTGATTGCTGTCTCTCTCTACATATATGAGCAATATAAGGGAAAACTGTTTGCTTATGAATTAGGCATATGAAACACTATTTCAACATCGAGTTGGTTCTTGTGACATTGAGCTCCATGTCAAAGGATGACCCGAGTCTCCTGTGGGATTCCGTTGGTAGAATTGATGCCTTATGGTTCCGATCCCCACTAATTAGAAAATCAAATTATTAGAATAGAATTTGCAAAAGTCTAAACAAAATCTACTCATTGTTTGCACTAAATAATGAATAGATTCTAAACAGAATTAAACAATTCTATGCACTGCTTCTAAATAGAATCATTATTTGATTTTTTTTTTTTTTTTGAAAAATTCTATGCAATGCAAAGAATAAAGCAATTCTATGCACTGCTTCTAAAATTCGGTGCCCAAAATCTAGTCTAAACAGAATCTATGGGCAGAAGCAGTCTAAATAAAATTTTTTAAAAGTCAAAACAAAAAATTGTTTTGGGAAACGGTGAAAATATCTTTTTATTTCTCTTTACTTCTTAGAGTTTTCGGAGTTAACAACGAACTCCACTTGAGAAAGATTATTTTTTTTCGCAACCTTAGCATCAACATGTTCAATTCTCAAATGTATACTACGCACTATTTTCTCAGTGTATTTATTTAATTTGATTTTTTTAAACTAAAATGGATAACTTTGAATTTTAATTAATCTTAATTTCTATAGCATAATATTACAATGAAATAAAATCTTAATTTTTTTTGAAAGATTAATCTAATAAGTTATTTTTATTTTAATATATATTACAATTTTTTTAATTAAAATTTAAAATTTATTCCATTTTATTCACACAAAAAACTAAACAAATAAAGTGGGACAGAAGGACTAATTGTCAAAGGAAAAATTTACCTAAATAGTACTAAAACATAATGACTTTCCTAATATAGTACCATATATTTTTATTTTCTAATATAGTACCATTAGTCATTGTTTACTGTCATGTTCAAGTAAATGTGCACCGCCACTGGACATTATTCAAACTAAATGTCCACCATCAATGAATATTATTTCCGTCACTAAACATTATTCAAGTACTACTTAAGAAATACGGAGTAAAAAATATAGCTACTACATCGAAAAATGACATGTTTTAGTGTTATTTAGCGCAAATTTCACTTGTGCCTGAAAATGATGGGGTTAGTTAGTTGCATTACACATTTACACGCAATCTTTTGTATTATCAAATCAAACAAAAGCTAAACCCAACTTATACTCCAATCAACCACAAAATGCAACCCATGATGACCACTTCTTCCTCTCTTATGCAAAAGATAAAGCTCCTTATTAGCACTAAAAGTTGGTTATAGAATCCTTTATATGATCTTTTAGTAAGTTCGCACTTTATATTCTAAAATCCTCCACATTAATGACTTATTTAATATATTTAATATTATATATTATAATTATGATTGTTACCTATTATAGTTAGAGTTATTATTATATAATATTACCTTATATAATTAGTCATTAATGTGGAGGATTTTAGAATATATTCCTCCACCTATAAAATACTCCATGTTTTGTATTCTTGTCTTATTCATTCAATCAATAAAGTGTCCCTTATTGTTTTTTACAACTAGTTTCTTTAGAAGTCATTATTGCACATATTCTACAACCATTAAGCAACACAGAGTAAAATAGGGACAACATTTGGAAGTCAATGCGAGTAGAAAGAGGAGAAAATTTAAACTATCCGAATACTTGATATTATTCGAGATGCTAATTTAGTACTTCGCACGTCAAGTTACAATACCTAAAATTTTACACTAATTTAACTAGTATCACACCCGTGCGTTGCACGGGTCATGGTTATGTTAATAAATTAAAATTATTTTTAAAAATATAAATTGGTATATATTAGAATGTATGTAGATATTTCATTATTTTAAAGTACAAAAATAAAATGATTTACAAATTTAGAAAGATTTCTTTATAAACTACATTGCGATTTATTAGTCATTAAACTGCAACATACAGTTTCCCATGACTAAAAACAGGTTTCCATAACAATAAGACAATAAGTTTTAGATATTGTCCCTGACAAAAATTCAATAATTTGACTTATCTAAGCAATAATTCAACATATTAATGTATTTATTTTGGAATTTGTAGTTTTTTAATTTTATTTTCATATTTAAATGGTACCGTTTACTTACCCACGGTAATTATTTTCAGTTTTATTTTAGATCACTTACCATTTTTACACGTGCCCATGTTTGTAAATTATACTCCCTTCATTCTCAAAAAGAATTTCTACTTTGACAAAGTGTAAAAATAAAGATCTGTTAAATTGTAGTTGACTTCAAATTTTGTTCTTGATGTGATGAGTAAAAGTAAGATGTGATGGATAAATTAATAGAGAAAGAGTATAATGTGATAGGTACGGTATGAAAAAGTAAAGGTAAAAGTGATTTTTTAATAGAAATTGGAAGTATTTTGTTGAAAGTGAAAAACATGAAAGATGAAGTATTTTTAAGAACGGATGAAGTAGTATTAATAGTACTAATTTTAGAAAACTTGCCATTGTTACATGTTTTTATGCTTATAGTATTAATAGCATTAATTTATAATTTTTTTTTTTTTGCATTTAAATGGTACTCCCTCCGTCCGGAAATATTCTTCCCATTTTCCTTTTTGGTCCGTCCGAAAATATTCTTCCCATTTCCTTTTTTAGTATACTTTTTAAGGCTAAATATCAATAATACCCTTCTATTTTATCACAAATCTACTTTTTTTAGTACTTTTTTAATAATAAAAGGAGATTTAAAAGTTTATAGTATGTGCATTTTTGAAAATTTTGCATTTTTTACTATTCCTTAATAAGCGTGCCAAGTCAACACGGCAAGAACATTTCCGGACGGAGGGAGTAGCATTTATTTATTGTACAGTATTTAATTTTTAAGTTATTTGATAACACTTACGATTTTTACATGTTTCCATGCATGTAAATTATAGTATTAATTAATAGTATTAATTTGTAGTTTTTCTATTTTATTTTTGTATTTAAATGGTATCATTTACTTACCGTACTGTATTTATGTTCTAATATATTTTAGAACACTTACCATTTTGATATTAATTTTATTTTCTAATTTATTTAGAAAACTTACCTAATTTATTTTAGAACACTTAACATTTATTTTATTTTCGTATTAAAATGGTACCATTTGCTTATCGTGCTGATATACCGTACTGTATTTATTTTCTAATTTTCTAATTAGAACACTTANTTTCGTATTTAAATGGTACTAATTACTTACTGAACCACATTTATTTTCTAATTTATTTTAGAACAGTTATCATTTTTAGATGTATTTTACTTTCTATTTTATTTGATAACATTTACCTAATATATTTTAGAGCACTTACCATTTTTTTATTTTCATTTTTAAATGGTGTCATTTGCTTACCGTACGATGCCGTATTTATTTTCTAATTTTCTAATTAGAACACTTATCATTTTTAAAAGGTTTTCATACTTGTAAATTATAATATTAATATTAATTTGTAGTTTTTATTTTATTCTTTTATTTAAATGTTACCATTTACTTACCGTACCATATTTATTTTTAAATTTATTTTAGAAAACTTACCATTTTTACACGTTCGTGCTCGTAAATTATAATTTTTTTTTGAAATAACTAATTAATTTGTACATAGTTTTTTTTGAAATAAATCATTCTAATCTCGCCTATACTTTATTAATTTGTATTTTTTTAATTTTATTTTCATATTTAAATGGTATTGTATTTTATTTCCATAGTATAATTCCCCAGTGGTTCACTATTAGAAAGTTTTCTTTTTTCACACGGTATTAAATTAGGAATTAAATGCACAGGAAAATTGTATTAATATGCACGGATTAATAATAGCCGTAGATTAATCAAAGTATATTTAAATCAACGGTCCTTAGATGTTCATCCTTGAGCGGGAAAAAGAATGGGGCATAATTCCCCTGCTTTTAAGAATAAGATTGGGTGACTAATGGAATCCATAACTAATGAAATAATACATAATTAGTTGCTTGCTTGCTTGCTTTCCACCATTGGATCCAATCTCTAGGTGCTATAAATTCATTTGCCTTTTTTTCTTTTTTTTTTCCTTCAATATAAAGTAGAAAAAAGAAAGAAATAAAAGAAAATTAAATGAAAGGCCCCATCGTAAAAAAAAAAGAAAAAAAGAAAGTTAATGTACAAAAAAAAGAACCACTTTTGTGTGTGTTAGTTGTTAGTTTTGAGACGTTTGGTGTAGTAGATGATTAAAAATGATTACTTATTTTATTATACTCTGTAATAAATAAAAGGAGAAAAAGAATAAAGAAGAAACTACCGTTAGCCATAGATAATTATTGAAGGCGTGACATATTTTTTTTCTTTTTTTTTGTTTGAGAATAATGGGTTTTTCCTCAAAAGAAATTTATACTTTTCCTTTTTATCCATTTTAAAATAGATTTTGCATTTCTTTCTTTTTTTTGAGAAATGAATATGTTGTTAATACTATTTCTATTTTTTATTTAATTTAAATTCAATTCACATATTGGTTTCTTGAATTTGGAAGAGGGAAAAATGGTTTTAAGAAAACGAAAGAAATGGTTGTTTGTTAGAGAAGAATATAAAACTTGGACGAAAAAAATGTGAAGAAAATATAAAGTAAAAATGAAAGACTAATTTCCCTCCAGTTAAATAAAATTTAACTCATTTTTGAACCCTTAACTTTTGTGAATGCAAACAATAAATTTTATTGTTCGATCCAGAGAATTTTATTGTTCTACCATCGCAGAAAAATCTTTTAAGTTTTGACTTTTTTGTTCCGATACTCATTGGTTTAAAATTATAAAAAAATATACTCCCTCCGTCCCCAAGTTTTTGTCCATTTTCATTTTTGTACACCATCCAATGCACTTCTTTAATCCATTTTATTTTGTAATTTGTATATTAAAAAATTATAGAAATTATATATTAATAATCTATATGTTAAGACAAATCAAACAAGATCACACATGACTATATTTAGGCTTACACATTGAGAAAATTTGATGAGTCAAAGTCCTTAAATGAATAGTTCCAAAAGTAAAAAATGGACAAAAACTGGGAGACGGAGAGAATATTTAATTATAATGTACATTCATTATATTTGAATTATATTAGAATACAATTTTAGTAAAACAAATTTTTATAATATTTATTTATTTAAATTATATTTAATTTGTAGTACAAAAGTATCAAATTTTGACAATTTTTTTAAAAAGAACGTTTACTTCTCGTTTCTTGACTCTGGAGTGAATAAACAAATTTATCCGTAAGATTTTTGTCAAACATTTGACACGTGAAAATGGCAGAGGATAGTCTAAGCGGAGCACATGGCCGGAAGAAAACGACCGGCGAAGACAACAAAAGGCTGCTGCCAAACGGTAACCTACGCCAGTTGACACGTGGCTATCCAGAGGCGTCGATGACCGGAAAACCCCACTCGGAAAAATCTTTGGCGCTAAACCCCATTGTTAATTAATCAATTCCCTCACAAATTATAATGCATAAATTTCTTCTGCTCTTTTTCTTTTTGTTTGGTACGTGGGTGAGTTTGGAGTCTTCCGTGTTAAGGAAGACCACATCCATAGCCCCTCCGAAAGAGTATAATTCAAACTTCAAAATTTTTCAGATGCCCATAAAAAGGGCACAATTTTCTTTGCAGTCTTTTAGCAGAAAGGTTCTTCTTTTCTTTCTTTTTTTATTTTACTGTGCTTCAAATCTCCCACTTCTAGCTTCACTTCGGGAGTTCTGGTTCTGTATCATCTTCTTGTCTGCAAAAGAACAGAAAGAAAGAAAGAAGGAATCATATGGTGCCATAGACAAGGAATGAACATCTGGGTATGTTTCAGAATCTTCTTGCTTGCCTAAATTTACAATCTTTTCTGGTGAATTTGTGTTCTTTGAAGAAATGTTAAGTGATTTCACATTGATTGAAAACAGGTGTACAAATAGGTGTTTTTGATGTTCTAGGAGAAATTGTTGAATCAGGTGTAGCTCAGACCTAAAATATCTTCAAAAAAAAGGTGAGGTTCCCTGTTAGATGTTAGGCTCAAATCTTATAAAAATCAGAAATGAAGCTTAAGAACTGGACTTTGAGATTTATTTGGAGTAATCTCTTGGTTCTGAGTTATAATTGACATGTTGTTTTCTGGTAGGATGAGACTGAGAAGTTCTAATTCCTTTGAGATGGAAAAGAGGAGTGGTAATGTGCACTCGCCAGACACGGTTCTTGAGGACTACCTAAACGGGTTAGAATCCGAAACAAATTCATCCAAGAACAGCAACCCGGAATCCGAAGCTGGTAAAGATGGAATGGGAAGTTCAAAATGGGCTGGTTTTGTTAAGCTGTTTAGTGGAATGAATAAGTCTAAGAGGCATTTAGGTAGATTGGACTCCCTCACTTCTTTCAAATTCTCAAAGAAATTCAGCAGCAGCAGCAGCATGAGGGAGACAACCGGTAGCCCTTTTAACATTCTGCAGAATTCTGCAGTTGATTGTGATTTCAACTGTTTCAAGCCTCATTGGAGGAACTTTAGCCTCTCTGATCTTCAAATTGCCACCAGCTACTTTCGCCAAGGCTAGTTCTAGTTTCCTTAAATTGTCCTATAGTGAGCTGTTCATGTTAATGTTTAAAACCTTTCCTGAGCCTATAACCAAAACTCTAAATTTTGGTTGAGATTGTTCCTCAAATCTCGAGCGAAAATGAATCTTGGAGTAGTATAAAACTTTTACTGACCTAAAGCTTGAGGCTTGAGATGGTTCCTTATCAGGAAGTTCTTGAAACGCGCTTAGATCCATAAATGGTACTAAAACACAAGATGCTCCAATCAAGAATAGATGCTTCGTAGCTTCTTGATTTTCACAATTCACATTTTGGGAGTGTTTCGGGTTTGTTCTTGTAAGCACTCCACCGAGAGCTTAAAAACCGAAACTTTTACTAAAATGCCAAAGCACTTCCAAACATTTAGCCAAACACACCCCCCCCCCCCAGG